GTGAAAAGACTTACACAAATGTATTTAAGAAACACTTGGGTGGTTCATGCTATGTGAAGGACACTGTTCTAAGGCCCTGATTAAAAAACAAAAGCCAGTGCCACCCAGTCAATCCAATCACTTCGTGGCCCTAGAGGACAGAGGCGAACTGCTGAACTGCTTGCTCCGTGAGGTTTCCGAGGTTGTAAATCTTTCCTGAACCTGACTGTCACACCTTTCTCCCATACAGCAGTTGCTGTTAGTAGTCTAATGCTTAATCCACTGTACTACCAGGACTCCTTAAACCCTTAAGTTATAGAAGCTATTTATTACAGTGAAGCCTGCCAACTCTGGTACCTGTGGAAGGTGGAAGCCAGTCAGAGAAGAAAAACTCAAACACTTTCCACTGCTCACTGCTGTCCAATCAATTTCGATTCACAGAGACCCTAACAGAGTGTGACAGAAAAGTGGGGTGTTGTTGTATGCTGTTAAAGGTAGAAAACCTATGAGACCCAGAAATACAAAGCAGACCTTTCGAGTTCCAACTCTTGCAGGCTTCACTGTATTCATTATCTTCATTTGAGAGCTATTAATACAAAGAGGCCCGAGGACTTGAAGCCAGCTTGGGATGTGGACCTCAAGTATGGCTTCAGACTTTGTGCTTTCAACATCCATGATGCGGTCTCTCCTGCCATTCACGGGTCTCCGGTCACCAAGCATTGGTGTCCAACTCTAACTAAGATGATGGGCACTTCTGCACACTGGCAAAAATCTAACTCTCAGCAAGAAAAATAGCGACTTAGTAACATAAGGAGACAGGTAAGGAGAAAATGCACAAATTCTATAAGAATCTTTTAATTTGTTCATTGAGCAGGTTCACAAACAAAATGTTATTCTTCACTTAAAAGACTAAGGAATGACAAAAAATACCACTGTAGAAAAGTGTGAGTTTACATACAGAAAGCAACAGAAATTGTAAAAGAAGGCTTGGACAGAAAAGAAGCTTTACAAAGAATAGTTGGACATGTTTTAGAGCCCCAAGAAGAATTTATTCTCACTTAACCTGCCTGAGTCTTCAAATGGTACAGGGGGCACAAGGTCAAGTTGGACAAAAACAAGGGAAGGGGCCTTCAAAGATGAAGAGTAGGCATTTTGATGTAGAAACTGACCTTGGGAGGGTCAGTTCTACATCATGAGATGGACATGACTTTCCTTGGAGACTCATTCTACTGGGAAGCAGCTAAATATTTGTTTGTAGAAATTTCCTTTAAAAAAAATCCAAACTATCCACACTCCACACGAATGAAGTTAAGTTGCCAAGACCTTCATATGCTGATGGGGCACAACTCAAAATGAGGAGAAACAGCTGTAAACACCTATTAATAAGCAAAACATGGAATCTATGATGCATGAATCCAAGAAATTGGAAGTTGTCAAAAATAAAAAGGACTATCCTAGGCACTCAGTAAGCTCAAATGGGCTAGTGTGGGCCATTTTTAATCTGACAAGTATACGGTTTACTTCCTCCTTCCCATTCTTGTAGCAAATTCAAGAGGAATGGTGTTACATTCACCATCAACAAGAACATTTCAGGATCTATCTAAAGTACAACACTGTCTGTGATAGGATAATAACTTTATGCCTACAAGAAAAATGAGTTAATACCATTAATATTCAAATTGACACACCAATCACTAAAGCCACTGATGAAACTGAAGAATTCTACCAACTTCTTCAGTCACAAATTGACCAAACCTGTAATTAAGGTGTGTTGATAATTACTGGTTACTGAAATGTGAAGGTTAGAAACAAACCTATAAGAAGGACTGGTAGTTGGGAAATATGACCTTGGTGATAGAAATGATTCTGGAGATCACATGATAGAATTGTGTAAGACTAAATGACTTATTCATTGTAAATACATTTTTAAACAACATGAAAGATGACTGACTATACTCACCAGATGGAATACACATAAATCAAACTAACGTCATCTGAGGGAAGAGACAATGAAAAACTCAACATCATCAGCCAAAACAAGGCCGGGGGCCAACTGTGAAACAGACCATCAATTGCTCATACGCAAATTCAGGTTGAAGATGAAGAAAATTAAAACAAGCCCATGATAACCAAAATATGACCTGAGTACATCCCACCTGACTTTAGAGACCATCTCCTGACTGATTTGATGCATTAGACACTAATGACTTAAGACCAGAAGAGTTATGGGATGATATCTAGAAATCAAAAGGTCATTAAAATGACAAGACAGAAAAAAAAAAAAAAAAAAGACCAACATGGATGTCAGTTGAGATTGTGAAATAAGACAGAAAAAACAAAACAAAACAAAACAAAAAAACCTAGGTGTCAGTACAGATTGTGAAATTTGCTCTTCAGCACAGAAATAAATGCTAAAACAAATGGAAGAAATGAAAAGGTAAGAGAGTTGAATAGAAAACATCAAAAGGCAGCTCAAGATGACAAAGCCAAGAATTATAATGAAATGTGCCAAGACCTGGCAGGAAGAATACACTCAGCATTTCTCAAGCTGGAAGAACTGAAGAAAAAATTCAAGCCTCGACTTGCGATATTGAAGAATTCTATGAAATAAAGCACTGGACCACAAGGTCAGTTAGAACCACAAGATCGTCGGTTCAAACACACCAGTTGCTCCTTAGAAACCCTATACAGAATTGCTATGGGTTCGAATTGAATTGACAGGACTTACCAACAGCAACAACAATGAACAAAATAGTGAATAATGCAGAAAGGTTCAAAAGAAGATGGAAGGAATACTCAGAGTCATTGTACCAAAAAGAAATGGACAATGTTCAAACATTTTAAGAGGCAGCATATGATCAAGAACTGATGAGCTGAAAGAAGTATACTAAAGGCATTGACAAAGAACAAGACTCTAGGAACTAATGGAATACAAATCGAAATCTTTCAACAAACTGATGGCAGCATTGGAGGCACTCACTTACCTATGCCAAGAAGTCTGGAAAACAGTTACCTGGCCAACTGATAGAAGACATCCATATGTATCCCCATTCTAAAGAGAAGTGACTCAATGGAATGTGACTATCATACAATATCATTAATATCACATGCAAGTAAAGTTTTGATTAAGATATTTCAAAAATGGCTTGAAGAGTACATGGACAGGGAACTACCATAGGTTCAAGTCAGATGAAATTTAGGGCATGGGATGGGGGCTTTCATTGCTGATGTCAGATGGATCTTGGCTGAAAGCAGAGAATATCAAAAAGATGTCTACTTGTGCTTTATTGACTTTGCAAAGGCTTTCAACTGTGAGGATCATAAAAAGTTATGGATAACAATGTGCAGAATGGGTATTCCAGAACACTTAATTGTGCTCATGAGGAACCTGTACATAGACCAAGAGGCAATTGTTTGAACAGAACAAGGGGAAACCAAGTGGTTTAAAGTCAGAAAAGATGTGCACCAGGGTTGCATTCTTTTACCATATTTGTTCAAACTGCATTCTGAGCAAATAATCTGAGAAGCTGGATTATATGAAGAATGTGGCAACAGGATTGGAAGAAGACTCATTAACAACCTGCAATACAAGATACAACCTTGCTTGCTGAAAATGAAAAGGACTTGAAATGCTTATTGATGAAGATCAAAGATCACAGCCTTCAATATGAGCTGCACCTCAATGCAAAGAAAACAAAAATCCTTATAACTACACCAGTGAGAAACATCATGCTAAATGGAGAAAAGATTGATGTTATCAAATACTTCATTTTGCCTGGATCCATTATCAACACTCATGGAAACGTTAAAAAAAATAAAATAAAAAAAAAATCATATGACATATTACATTAGGCAATCTATAAAGTTTTCAAGAGCAAAGATACCAGTTTGAGGGCTAATGTGTGCCTGATACAAGCCAAGGTATTTTCAGTATTCTCATATGCAGGTGAAAAGGAAGACTTAAAAGAATTGTTACATGTGAGTCCATTGTTGGAGAAGAAAACTATTAAGTACCACGGATTGCAAGAAAGATAAACAAATCTATGTTGAAGGAAGTTTAGCCAGACTAGCGAGGCTTTGTCTTTCATACTTCAGGCTCCTTGTCAGAAGGAACCAGTTCCTAGGGAAGGACATTATGCTTGGTAAAGTAGAGGGTCAGCACAAAAGAGGAAGTCCGCCCCAGTGAGATGGACTGACAAACTGTGGTAGCAGCAATACCTTCCGGCATAACAACAATGTTGAAGATGGTGCAGGAGTGGGCAGTGTTCAGTTCTGTTGTACATAGGGTCATTATGAGTCGGAAGTGACTCGATGGCATCTAACGATGACAACAATAATGTAGTAAAAATACCCAGAGCAATCAACTACTGTGTGTGCACAAAGAGGCCGTGCATAATCAAAATGTAGTCACTTCCATTCTACTTCAAAAGGAGCTCTGGTAGCATAGTGCTTACAAGTTGGACTGCTAACCTCAAGGTTAGCAGTTTGAAATTACCAGCTGTTCTAAGGGAGAAAGATGAGGCTTTCTATTCCCGTAAAGATTTACATCCTCGGAAACCCTATGTGGGGTCTTTATGAGTCAGAACCAATTCCATAGCACACCAAGGTCACCACAACCAAAGGTAGGAAATTGGGGATTTCTAAAGAGGGAGCCCTGGTGTGGTGCTGCAGGATGAAGCGTTAGGCAGCAAGATCAGTTTGAACTCTAAGGTCAGTGGTTCAAATCTACCAGTCACTCCTCAGAAACCCTATACAGGGTCGCTATGGGTCAGAACAGTAACAACAAGAACAAAGAGGGACTCGACTGGCTGCTGTGACGGGATCATGACAGAGAACAAGTGCAAGTGACCAGGGGTGGCCATGCTGTATTTCGAACGTGAACCCACACAAAGCACACCATTCCAATTGGCTCTAATGATCAATGGAAGCTGACTCTTTCACCTTATGAAGATGATCACACACACACACACACACACACACACACACACACACACACGTAAGTATTCCCGCCTCTCCCTTACCTTTCCCATAGAAGAACTTGCGGTAATAGTAGGCCCCGAGGTCAATGTGTTCGATGATGTAACGCTTCACTTTCTCCCTGTGAATCGGCTGGTTCTCTCTGGGCACCTCCAAAACTGACACTCCGGCATTTGTACAGTGAGAGCTGAGAGATGATTCAAAAGAACAGCCTTCCCCGGCACTGAAGGACGAGGAGTTGGCTCTAGAAAGAGCAATCCTTCTGTCGCCTTCCCCTCCTATCTCGTTTCTAAAGTATGGACAACTCAGCACGAGCTCATTACTCTTGCCATCACCTTCGTCGACATCCAAGTTCTCTTTTGAGTTGAGGTCCTCCTTGCTCCCAAGAGGGGACTCACAGGTGCCCGCCTGGCCTGCTGGTATCTGAGTCTGGGAGGCTGCCGAAGCGCCAGTAGTTATGTTTTTTCTTTTTCCCACATTAGCCCTGATCACCATGGCTTCATTGATATTAAACAAAATGCTCTGGACGTCATAATGTGCAAAACATCGCTGACAATGCCAAGGGCGAACACCCCTTTCGAGACGACTGTCCTCCAGGTCAGACGTGAATTTGAAAGTTTCATGTTCACTTTTCACAGTTCGCAGCTTTCGGAAAAGGGACGTCTCCACTGACTCCGACTTTAGCCTCCTTTTGAACGGCTTGTCTTGGTCTCTCCCCATTAGGAGGGCGCTGTCCATGTAGTCTAATCCTGAGATGCGGACAAACTCTCCTCTAGAAATCTGTGCTGCTGCATGAAGGCTGGGGGAAACGGCAGGATCACAGGGGAAGAACTCAGGAAATCCAAAAGGGACCATCGCTTTGTGGTCATAATTTTCTACTCGGTATCCTCTAAGCATAGCAAAAAAGTTTTCACCAGATAAACCCTGTCTGTCGATTGAAGATGTGCTTCCGTACTCTCTGTGGAGGGCTGCCCCGGTGTTGGGGTTCACTGCATTTTGGTCTAAGACGTCTTCAGCGTCAATGTCACTTATGGTGACATCACTATTACTTCTCTGTCGTATGGGGTGAAGTCCTCTTTGAGGAGAATGCACGAAGATGTCTCCGATGGTATACTTGGCCTCCACGAATTCCAGATCAATCTGATCCAACTGCTGTCCATGACTCGGGCCACCCTGTCCATTCTGTAAGATGGATGTGACGCTTTCATAACTGGCTTGCGAACGGCTCTCCCACAGTCCCTTGCAGGCTAGCTCCTTGGAGCAATCCTTTTTAGGAGGCCATTCGGACACTCTTGCTCTCACACCCATTTTGGGCACCGCTGGGGTCCCATTGGGTGGACCACTACTCTCGTTTGAATTTGAGGCATTTAAAAAAGTAGGAGGTCCCATGTTACCATTAATGGCTTTAAATTTCCGAGCAAAATAGTCATCAGATTGCATGATTCTGGGAGGATCCATAAACTTTGAAGGGGCTCTCAGCTTGTGCTTCTCATCTTGTGACTGCCTTGGGTCACTCATGTTTACTGAGGCAAGAGGCTCCAAGTTTCACAAAAAGTCTAGTATAATTCTAATCACATTGTTATTTACAATGTGATATTAAGTGCAGATATACTGAAGACTTATAGCTGTTAGGAGCCCTGGTGATGCAGTGGTTAAGCGCTCAGTTGCTAAGCAAACATTCAGTAGTTCAAGCCCACCAGTTGCTCCGCAGAAGAAACATGTGACAGTCTGGCTCTGTACAGGCTACAGCCTTAGAAATCCCATAGGGGCAGGTCTACTGTAGTTTCCTGTAGGGTTGCTATGAGTCAGAAGTAACTCAATAGCAATGAATTTGGTTTTGGCCTATGGTTGTGCTTCCTCTCTTGTTAACCAAAAGCAAACAACATCCTCAGTATACGATTTCTCCAAAAACCAACTTGCTTCTCAGTTATTGTAATAAGTTTGTGCTCTTCAGGTCTTTTCAAAAGCATTCCTTAAGTCATTTGGCCATGAAGATTTCCTTTACCTGAATTGAGACAGAAAAGAGTCATTAGAAATTTATAGAGCTTGAAACATTCTACAGTATGGCTTCCTCTCCGTTTCACCCACTTTTGTTCACTTCCAGTTTCCCCTAAAGTATTATGAAGTTTCCTATGTCTACACTTTTGATCATACTTATCCCTTCTCTTTGGAACACTCACCTGCCTTCCTTCTCTACCTGGCTGGCTAGGATGCACACCACAGAATCAAGCATCTCCAAGAAACGTTCTCGGTACATTGTCCATCCTCACCCCACATCTGAATATAGAATGCTTCCTCTATGTTTCCATAGTATCCGTGTGTACATCAATCACAGCATTTTTCATTACATGGTAAGGACTGGTTTACTGCTCAATCTACGCTCACTAGCTGTCTCTGGGCTTCTGTGCTAAGTCAGAAAGAATGAATGCCTTTCATCTGTGTACCAATGTTATCGATTAATGTAGCCTGGCTCAAAGTCAGTACAGGCAATATTGTAATTCACACATTCATTAGAAGAGTGGCGCAAGAGTCAAGTCGTATGTTTGAGTATTCCTATTATAATTTCTTTCAAAATAATTTGAAACACAAAATGCTCAGGAGCAAATAATAAGAACCAACACTAGGCATTAATATGTGAAGATTCAAAAATCAAACAGGAGCTTTGAGTGGGTAAGACTCTTGAAGAAATTGGTGTCTGAATGATAAGAACTTTCAAGTTAATTATGCCACTAGTAACTTGCCAAATATATGCAGTAATTTTTTTTTTTTTTTT